CTGGGTGCTGTCCCTCAGCTCTTCAGCTCAAGGCTAGCACTCTACCACTTGAGCCACAGTGCCACTTCTGGCTTTTTTCTTTTTGCTTAAGTGGTGCTAAGGAATCAAACCCAGGGCCTCATGCATGCAAGGCAAGCACTCTACCACTGAGCCACCTTCCCAGCCCCAAGTTTATTATATAGGAAGAAATGTCAATATCTAGTTAATTTTAATTCTCAACTGTCCTATAAAAGAAAAAACTATTAATTGATGAACAAAGTTTCTTAATTATGAAGAAATACAATTAAGCATAATTTTGAAGAAGTCTGTCTAATAATAATAACTAGCAACCAGTAAAGGTTGACTATGTGTATAGTGAACTGAGAATTCTTTTTTTTTTTTTTTTTTCGGTCACGGGGCTTGAACTCTGGGCCTGGGCACTGTCCCTCAGCTCTTCAGCTCAAGGTGAGCACTCTACCACTTGAGCTACAGCACCACTTCTGGTTTTCTAGTGGTTTATTGGAGATAGGAGTCTCACGGTCTTTCCTGGCTTTGAACCATGATCCTCAGATCTCAGCCTCCTGAGTACCTAGGATTACAGGCATGAGCCACCGGCGCCCGGCTGAGAATTCTTTGATAATTATTTTATCTAATTATCATCATGGTCCTAAGAATGATATCAGGGATAGATCCAGAGTTTGTGAGATCTAAAGCTTCCATAATTTGGAAAGCCTTAAGAAAAAAAAAAGAGTACAAAAACATCTTTTACCTTTGCAAAACACAAAACACAGGACCATCAGCCCACTTAAGGGCTCTTCCTAATGCCTTGGAAGATGCCTTTGCAAATATGATGCCCTGAAGTTTAACTTCACTAATATTCATTTCATGATATGTCCTTCTTTAAGTTATACTAAAACCCCATTTTCTTGACATAAAAATTGGGGTATAGCCAGACATCATTATTCAAATTAATCCTGCCTAATTCCAGCCTCTTTTCTCTTACTAGTCTCTTTGCCTCCAGGAAGGTCTAGTCTAATTCACAAAACTTCCTTAGAAATACCTTCTAGGGGCCGGGAAGGTGGCTCAGTGGTAGAGTACTTGTCTTGCATTCATGAGGCCCACATAAGCAGAAAAAGCTGGAAGTGGCACCGTGGCTCAAGTGATAGAGTGCTAGCCTTGATGCTGAAGAGCTGAGGGACAGCGCCCAGGCCCAGAGTTCAAGCCCCACGACTGACAAAAAACAAAAAGCAAAACACAAAACCTTCTATACATAAACGTGGAGGAATTCAATATTTGCAGTGTGATAGAGGCTAAAAGATCAGTAGTGTTTGAAAGGTCGGGTAGAGAACTTCAAGGACAATCAGTTCTAAATAATCCTGTTTCTGCAATGATCTTATCTTACAAGCAATATTTAGAAGGAATCCTCAATTGGCAGAATATGAAAGCTCCATGACAAATAACATGTCACTCTTGATTTGAGGCAGAGAGATCCTACCTCCTTTAGAATAAAATCCATACTTAGTATACCAGCCCCCAAACAACTTGGCTCTTGCCTAGTTTTTCTACTTTATTTCTTTTTTTTCCTATTTTTTTTTACTTTATTTCTTACTATTTTCCCTTTTCTCACTATTTTCCGTAAACAAGCTAGGCTTGTAGGAGTCTTGTTATTTTGTTAACTTGTAAAAATATGCTTCTCTCATACCTTCTCATTGCTGCCTTCTTGGGTTTCACTTCCAAATTACCTTCTTAGAAAAAAAGCATCTGACTCTGTTGAGAAAAGACCATCCCACATCTTCCAACAGATACATTTCATGATTTTTTTCTCATAAACTTCATGATTTTCTAAAAAGAATCTTTATTTTTATTATAAAAATGTATTATCTATTAGCCCAGAGAGTAAAGGTTCCTGAAAGGATGATATAGGATGATTGTGAGTTTGAAGCCAGCTCTACACAGTGAATGATGCAGTTGCTTAAGCATATGATCTTAGCCATATCATCTTAGATGGAGATTGGGAATCAGAGGACACCTGAGTCATAAAAGTTCATGAAACTCAATCTCAACCCATGCATACCTGTCATCCAATCTATAAGCAAAGCATAATGATTGGGTGCAATGGTGAATGCATGCCATTCCAGCAACAAAGGGAAGCACAAATAGGAGGATGGCAGTCAATGCCAGCCTGGGTATAAAGCAAGGTTCTATCTATCTATCTATCTATCTATCTATCTATCTATCTATCTATCTATCTATCCATCTATCTATCTATCTATCTTGTTATTGTAAAGGTGATGTACAAAGGGGTTACAGTTACATAAGTCAGATAAAGAATGTACTTCTTTTTGGACAATGTTATCCCTTCCCTTGCCATTTCCCAGTTTTTTCCCCCCTCCCCACCCACAAGTTATATAGTGAGTACCACTGCTGTTCATCCTTTGATCATCCTTTGTCCCTTAATTTCTCTGCCCCCTATTCTCCCAATGACAGATTCAACAAACTAGATCAAAAGAAAAGAACAATAAAGAAAAAAACCTCTTGTGTCCATTTCCTGGAGTTCATTTCAGTAAAATTATTTTATATGATCAGATGCATACAGGCATTTGTACCTTTGTGTTCCTCTCCTAAGGGTATCCTTCTTTAGTCTCACTGTGTGTGAATGCCTAGAGTTCTGTTTAATTTATCCTGTTCCAGTGTATTTTAGATCTAGCTTTTGCATATGAGAGAAAACATTTGGAGAGGCCATATCTTGAAAATAACACAAAAAAGGACTGGTGGAGTGGCTCAAGTGGTAGGTTGCCTGCCTGGCAAATGTGAAGCCCTGAGTTCAAACTTCAGTACTAAAATTAAACAAAGGGGAAAAATGGCCTTTCCTCAACTCAGTTCTGGAAATAAAATCAAAACACTTGGTTTGAATTGCTTTATTTAGGATTATTAATAAGACATGTCTTTCTCCTCCTTCCTTTTTTCTTTTTTTCTTAAGTAATCACTTTACCACTTAAGCTACATTTGCAGCCCTTTTTTATTTCAAGTGTTTTTGGAACAGGGTCTCTAGCTTTTCCCTGGGCCAGTCTGGACATTAATGGCCATATATATATATATATATATATATATATATATATATATATATATATACACACACATATATATATATATATATATATATATATATATATATACACACACATACATATACATATAAATGTATATCTATCTATCTATCTATCTTTTTTTTTTTTTTGGTTGGTCGTGGGGCTTGAACTCTGGGCTTGGGGCACTGTCCCTGTGCTCTTCAGCTCAAGGCTAGTGCTCTACCACTTTAGCCACAGCCCCACTTCTGGCTTTCTGGTGGTTAATTTGAGATGAGCTTCATGGACTTTCCTGCTTGGGCTGGCTTTGAACGGTGATCCTCAGATCTCAGCCTCCTCTGTAGCTAGGATTACAGGCATGAGCCACTAGTGCCCAGCTTTAATGGCCCTATTATGCCTCTCATGTGGCACACCACTACGCCCAGCTTATGGTTGATATGAGGGCTCGCTTTTTGTATAACTTGGCCTCCAGCCACAGTCCTCCCTGACCCACCTCCTGAGTAGCTGGGAATACAAATGTGAACCACTGTGCCCTGTCCAATTGTTCCTTCATTTTAGGTGGAGTGCTCTAATAATTCAAAGTCTAACCTACTAACCCCAAATTAAATTTTCGTGTTACGCTAAAAGTATATACTAGTTCCTGAACAAAAAAAATAGTGCCAGTCCTGGCACCTGAACTCAGGGCTTGTGTACTGTACCCGAGCTTCTTTTGCTCAAGGCTAGCACTCTACCCCTTGAACCACAGTGCCACTTTTGGCTTTTTCTATTTATGTGGTACTGAGGAATTTAACCTAGAGCTTCATGCACTATAGGCAAGCCCTCTACCACTAAGCCACATTTCCAGCCCTTGTTCTTGAAATTTTTACAGGATATAAATGCTAATCAATGCATAACTTTATCACTAAAATATATAACATTAAGATTCAGTCTCATATATCCTAAATTTAGAAAACATAAATTGAAATTACTTATACTGCATAAGAAAATATTTAGATGTTACTTTAAACATTCAAAATAAAGACATACCTCCTAAAGCCCCACTGTGATCTAGACTTTTTTTTTTAAGGCCATTAGATACGATCAGAACAGGAACCACAACAGAAAATAGCCACCGCCAAGGAGAAATAGGCCGTAAGTTACCTGAAAAATAATATAAAGAGGGAACATAAATTGAGTGAAATCACAAGTTAAACTTGGCATTTAGTTTGGTTAAGTACACTGTGAATTAAAATAGTTGTAAGTAAGAGAAAACTTCAACGAAATTACCCAAGTAAATTATTTATGTGACATTTGAATATTGCCTGAGAGGCAATTTTATTGGGATATGGCCAACTGTGTTATGTTGATGTTTTAAGAGCCATTTATAATTATTTATGACAATGGGTATCTCACAGATGAGTATCTGGGGCTATAAAGTCAATGTTTGGCTCCTCTGTATTTTTTTTTTCTCTAAATAACAGTTTCTGTCACTTTTTTCTAAATAGGATTTAATTCCTTTCTTTCTTTTTCTTTTTTTTTTTTTTTGCCAGTTGTGGGGCCTGAACTCTGGGCCTGGGCACTGTCCCTCAGCTCTTCAGCTCAAGGCCAGCACTCTACCACTCGAGCCAGAGTGCCACTTCCAGCTTTTTCTGTTTATGTGGTGCTGAGGAATAGAACCCAGGGCTTCATGCATGCGAGGCAAGTACTCTACCACTGAACCACCTTCCTAGCCCCAGGATTTAATTCCTTTCAGAGAGACAATTTTATTTTAAACAAATAGCATTCAGAGTATAAACCTGATTCAATGGTTAGAAAATGATTTTCTGTGGGTTGGGAAGGTGGCTCAGTGGTAGAGTGCTTGCCTAGCATGTATGAAGCCCTGGGTTCAATTCCTCAGCATCATATAAGGAGAAGAAGCCGGAAGTAGTGCTGTGGCTCAAGAGCTCAGGACAGTGCCCAGGTCCAGAGTTCAGACGCCATAACCGACCAAAAAAAAAAGAGAGAGAAAACAAAAAATAAAATGATTTTCTGAAAGTTGTATCCAGTTCAGAGATGTTTTGTTTGGCTAGTGTGGTATGTTGATAAATAATTTGAGTCAATATTTAGAGTGGGAGATTTCACATAAAAATTTTGACTACTGACTTCTGTTTTAAAGCTGGAAGTTCTGTCCTGCATGGCAGAATGATTTGAAGGTGATGAGAGACCTGTCCTGTAGACAGGCAGGGCTTTCCCAGTTAAAATTCCCACAAGAGAATCCTACACACTAATGCTAAGTAGTTTCATTTCATTACTGTTCTTTTCTGAAATGGCCATCAGTTACACATATAATTCAGGCTGTGGAAGCTAAGCAAACATTTATAACCATTCATAGGACTAGACTTTCCGATTTTACACTGGAACTGTTACCATTTATTAGAGTACAGAAAACAATTCAGAACATTCCTACTTACCATAATAGGTGCTAGCAGTCATTGACACAATCCAGAAAGCTAAGGAAATGCAAATGATCATGCTCAAGACTACTATATTAGTAATCATATTTATATATCTTTTGTATATACTGTCGTCAGGATCTGTCATAGAAAAGAAGGCAATGAGCACCTGAGGGAGAAAACAGCGTTTCTGAGCCTAAAATACTTAAAATTGCCTGCAAAGCACTCGTTTAGATGCAAATTAAATGTACACCATAAATGCAAACATAGACATCGGCCACCAACCGAACAAAAAGACACTGCTGCTACTGCAGCACTGTAGGGCAACTCCTCAATGGAAAAAAAGCAAGGCGCCAGGGCCCGCTCCTGGCTGGTAGTGGTGGCCTCACAGTTGGACAAGGAGACCAGGAAAGGGAAAAGGAAAACGCAGCGGCCAATCGGAGACTCCAGGCCAGCGAGCTCCGCCCCCCGCCCCCAAGTCCCGCCCACCATCGCACCCCTCCGACAAGCCTAAAGGAGCAGGTCCCGGGCAAGGAAGAACGGCCGCACCTGAGTGACTTAGAGCAGCGATCCCTATGCAGTGGGCCGTGGTTAAGTCCACTCGACCGCCGAAATCGCTTCAGGGTCCAGATCTAGTTTGACAGGTCAAGGCCGAGACAAGTGGACGCCGGTTCTTGCCTCACTGCGCCTTCCCCGCCCGCATCTCGCCCCAGGGCGCATGCGCTGCCGCGCCCACGTGAGCATTTAGTGGAGAAAGCCGGAAGCTGGGCTTGGCTAACTCCTTGTTGTGAAACGCGTGGAAGTCTGTTCCTCGCGCTTGTGAAACCACCATGGAAGGGGTGGTGTAGGACTCCGCACCAACCTGCTAGGTAGTAGTTGGATAACAAATGCAAATAGGTCTAACAGCCAATCACTCCATTTCAAGCGAATTATTCAAGGTGTGATTTTGTGCTGGTTCTTGGACCTGAAGCCAGGGCCTGGGCTCTGTCCCTGTTTTTCTTCTTTTCTTAGTCTCAAGGCTAGCGCTCAGCCACTTGAGCCACAGCTCCACTTCTGGTTCATTCGTGGTTAATTGGAGGGAAGAGTCTACTGGATTTTGCTTCCCCAGGCTGGCTTCCCACCGTGATCCTGAGATCTTAACCTCCTGAGTAGCTAGGATTACAGGCATGCCTTATTTTGCCTGGGAGGGGAATGTACCCTGTTGTAGAACTGGGATCTTGTGACCTAAGAAATATATATATTTTGGTCGGTCATGGTGCTTGAACTCTGGGCCTGGGCTCTGTCTCTGAGCAATTCATCTCAAAACTAGCACTCTACCACTTGAGCCACAGCACCACTCCCAGTTTTCTGGTGGCTTATTGTAGATAAGTTGCATGGCCTTTCCTGCCCGGGCTGGCTTTGAACTGCGATCCTCAGATCTCAGCCTCCTGAGTAGCTAGGCGTGAGCCACGGGCGCCCGGCTGAGAAATAATTTTAAACACTACTTTAGTTCTTATAATGGGCCAGGCTCTGCTGGGTGTTAAATATGTAAAGCTAAAGCTACATCACTTGTATTGTAGAAATACCTTTTGCATTCGGTTAGAACATCTTGTGACTGGTTCATATTTTACTCGAAATTACTTGTCAGAATAGTAACTGATAATTATATCCGCATTTTAAAGTTAGTTGTTGACACCTTAAGGAGACAGCATTTTCAGTGTAATTGTGATTTTACCCAGTTTTTAAAATTTACATTTCCACTGATAACTTTAAAAATAATTTTATTCCGAATTTCAAAATATATGCCAGGATAACTTCACTACCTTTCCTTGGTTAGTTAACTAAGACCCAAGTCTGTGAAGTAGAATAAAATTGTAATGGCTTTCTTACACATGTGGTCCTTCTATAGGTACTCATTATGAGACCACTTCTTTTTCAGTATTCTGCCTGGGTAAATAATTATATTACATGCTACCTGGTCAGTATCAATATTACCACACTATTGGGAAAAGTCACTACTAATAAAAGCTAGGCTAATGATCTTGTAATTTGCAGAAGTTTTTGTCTCCAGAGGAGGGGGAGGTGACTGCTTCCAGTTATGTAGGTGACACAGATACTGGGTGGAGACTTAGCCAAGAGGAGGAGTCTACTTTGTCTTCCCAGAGGGGACCTTACACTCTCTGCTTAGACAGTTAGGAACTGGTCTTCACCATAACGATGACCTTGTCCAATTAGTTGGTGTTTTATGAGAAAAACATAGTGAATGTTATGGCATCTTCTGACACCAGGGTCAATTCATGTCGTCAATTCCTGGATGCCAGGAATGATGCTCTCTTTTTCACCACTATTAGATCTGGCTAGAATCGTATATTAAGACATAGTGCCAGTGAAATGACCCTACATTTTCCATTTTCCCATCCCAGAGTGTCTGATTATTGCTGTTCTTCATAAAACCAGAACAGTGCAAGAATGACCTTTATTCCCTCACCAAAGTTTGAAAATACTCCGAAATGTTTCTGTCAATAACCAGGTTCAAGATTTCAACTTCATGCCCCAGTTCCAGCACCAAAAAAAAAAAAAGTCTTGATCTTCTGGATACTTACAAAGAGAATTTTCATAGCTCTTCATTTATCTGGCCTACCCTGTGTAAAGTGCATTTAAAACAAACTACAATGCACATTTAGATAAAATTTGAGCAACAAATTTGAAACAAATTCCTGTTCCAAATTTCACATATTTTTGTTATACAATTTGCTCTTAAGTTGTAAGGAATTCTACAGAAGCTTTTTTTTAAAAGATATAAATTAGGGGAAGAACTTTCACAAGTTTATGTATATATTTTAGAAATCACAGGCATGACAATAATTTCCTTGGAAAAAAGGTTTATAATATTTCAAATACATTTTTAGAATACAGTGATATACATTACAAAACCTTTAAATTTAGAAAGTTTTCAACTGTCTAGATATCAAAAGAATCCCATTTCTAGTATAAATATGAACCACTTCAGTATTGTAACAAAATTGAAATTTACCCGTATACTAACATTGAAAAATGAGATAAACATTATAAAGTCTACCTAGACAATGTCAACAATGACCTTGATGGACATTTACATATTTTTATGTTTTTAAGTTACATGATGTATCCTATTTTAATAACATGGTTTATATATTAAAAGCTTAGAATTTGGCCACACGTTGATGGCTCACACCTATAATCCTAGCTGCTCAGAAGGCTGAGCTCAGATCTCAGCCTTGGTACAAAGATCATGGTACAAGCCAGCTCAAGTCCATGTGACCCTTATCTTCAATTAACCACCAAAAGTCTGGAAGTGGAGTTGTAGCTCAAGTGGTAGAGCACCAATGTTTAGCGAAAAAACTCAGAACAGTATCCAGGCCGGGACCAGTATACACACACACACACACACACACAGTATCCAGGCCGGGACCAGTATACACACACACACACACACACACACACACACACACACACACACACACACACACACACACACACACACACACACACACACACACACCAGCAAAACTCAGAGCAGTATCCAGGCCGGGACCAGTACGTACACACACACACACACACACACACACACACACACACACACCAGCAAAACTCAGAACAGTATCCAGGCCGGGACCAGTAC